CTACTAGAGGGATCTTCTCATTAATAGAAAGAAAAGATCAAGGGACTCAAAAATTCAATTCAGGAAGGTATTGGTCTCCTCTTTTATTTCTCTAAAGAAAAAGAAAGAAAAACTAAATGAAAGCTATTGTGGACTGATCACCTTTCTTATATGAAACACATTCTGTTTCATGAAGGCCCTAATAGCAATCTTGCATTTGGAGGGAACCCTAGAAACAATGGAGGACTTCCCAGGAGGCGCTAGTGGTAGAGAACTCTCCTGCCAATGGAGGAGACATAAGAGACGTGGGTTCGATCCCTGGGCTGGGAAGATCCCTTGGAGGAGGGCATGGCAATTACTCCAGTATTCTTGCCTCTGAGATTACCATGGACAGAGGAGCCTTGTGGGCTACAGTCCAGGGAGTTGCAAAGAGTAGGACACAACTGAAGCAACACCTACAGCAACACTGCTAGAGATAATGGAATCCAACATACCTCCTTTAAAAGATAAAGTTAAGCCCAGAGGCATTAGTCACTTATTTGCTTCAGTCCAAATTTCCCAATAACAGACCAGAACCCTTTCTACTATACTTTGAGACCCTGAAATTAGTAGGGTTGGGATAAGAACTGCACTCTTGCCTAAGGAGAACAAGGAGAGGGGAAATGCCAAATGAAAAGTCCATAAAAAATTAAACATCTGTTTGTCATTCTTAATACATGGTGACAGACTCAATTAATTGAGTCCTTTCTTCCTTACATGCCCTATGTAGGAGCTAACAAATTTTGTGAGTTCAATACAAACAAAGCCATCAAATGCTCCAAAGTATAACAAGACCTTAAACACGTTTCCTAAGCCCCCAGCACTATGAATTTGTAGTTTTATAAATATCATGGTGAACAAAAAATGCTGTCTTGTCATATTCAAGCCAAATAACAGCTGGACTTTAAAAATAAAATTTTGAAGACATTTGCCTTTTATATTTTTAATTTCTGTTTTCTTGGCGTACGGTTTTGTCATTCGATTTTGATGAGCGGTTAATACACGTGCACAGCTGCCTCTTTTGGTGACCTTTCCCTGCCGCTTCTATGCTCGAAGCTATGAAGCAGGTCTTCAGATTGCTGACAAAGTGATATTGGCATTTTCACAACTGGCAGACACTTTCCTGTGAAGCCAGGCTGACTTTAGTCACTTCAGATGCCACACAGGAGAATGGGTTGAAAGCAGAGGAAGGGATATTACTCGCTCAGTTGTGTCTGACTCTCTGCAATCCCGTGGACTATAGCCCACCAGGCTCCTCTGCTCTGTCCATTGGGATTCTCCAGGCAAGAATACTGGAGTGGGTAGCCACTTCCTTCTCCAGGGGATCTTCCCAACTCAGCGATCGAAGCTGGGTCTCCGGCATTGCAGGCAGATTCTTTACCATCTGAGCCACCAGTGAAGCCCCAGAGGAAGGGGAGAGTCCCTTAAAACTGCCATTATGCATTATTCACAACAGCCATAGAAACGGACACAGAAAAGAACCTTAGCATACATGAGAGGATGAAGGATGAAGAGATTGTTTTATACATATATATTTTTGAATGTGATAAAAATATTATTCATCCATAAAAAAAGAAAACCCTGCCACTAGCAACAAAGACAAATGCTATATGATCTCACACAGACATAGAATCTAAAGAGGCTAAACTCATAAAAGCAGAGAACAGAATGGTGATTTCCAGGAACTAGGAGGAAGGGGATATGGAAAGATATTGGTCAAAGAGTATAAACTTCCAGTTGTAAGATGAATAAGCTCTGGGGATCTGATATATGGCAGGTGACTATAGTTAAAAATACTGCCTATACACTTGAAAATTGCTGAGAGTAGTTTTTTAATTTTCTCATCAATAAAGCTAATTTGTGAGGTATAGAGGTGCTAACACTGTGGTAATCATTTCCCAATATATATATGTTTTCAAATCATCACAGTTTATACCTTAAATTTGCACCAAGGTTATATGTCAATTTTATCTCAATAAAGCTGGAAAAATATCTCAACTGTTCAAAGCCAGATCATGTGTGGACAAAGAAGGGATGACATCCTGAGCCAGAGCTTAAAACTCACTTGCCAGTGGAGCCTACCTAAGTAGCTTCCACTGTGAACCTCTGTGGGGAACAAAGAAGTCTTGATCTTCTTAATACTTTTCTCAGTGATAATTATATCTGCCTTATTATCTATTCTTTCCCTTTTTAATCTTCCATCTTCCTTCACTCTAAGTTCTAAGAGTCAGGAACATACTTGTTTTGCTTCCTTTGGTTTATCCAGTGTCTAGTTCAGGGACTGGCACACAGAACAGGCACTCAAGAAATGTCTGTTTGTTTTTAAACCAAGACTGAATGAAAGAGTGAATACATTTTTTAATATTCTTTCACTTCAGTTCCTTCTTACTAGCGAAGTGGAGAAAGTATTATGTGTACCTGTTATCTACTCTGACTTTAATATGGACTGAAACTCCAGCAGGCTTTGCAATCAGCTTACGCTTGAACAGATGCCAGGAAATATCCTGAAGTCAGCAGAAGGCCGCTACCCATCCCAGCAGCCCTCACAAAGGCGCTCCACTTCTGTCGGTATTAGAGCAGGAAACTTGACTCCATTCATGAACTCACAGTCCCCCAGAAGCACACGAGGTCTCAATGGCGACTCCGGGCAAGCTTCTGAAGGGAGGTTTTCACACGCTCCTTAAGCTCCTGGGCCGCTGCGGACCTTCTACTATTACACTCATCAGGCATTGCTGCTATGTGTGACAGAGGAACTCGAGAGCCGGTGCATGGCATGACTGGCTATATTTAGGGGAGAGGAAATGGGCCATACTGAGGGAGGTCACAAGGAGTTTGCTCAGAAAAATGAAGGTACCACTTATGTATCTGTATATACAAGGGGTGCAGGATAGCACAGTACTTAATGGCTTGGGTTCTGCAGTCAGTCTGCCTAGGATCAACTCTCACCTCTGCCCTTACTGCCTACATGACCTGTGGCAAGTTACTTAACTATTCTCAGCCTTAATCTTCTCATCTGTAAAATGGGAAAAAATGCCTTCTTTACATAGGTGTATATGATTTAAATGAGAAAATACGGGTTAAAAGCTTAGCACGTTCTCTGGAATATAAATGCTTCATAAATGTTTGCTTAAAAAAAGCATAGTAATTAGGAAATTAGCTTGAATCCAAACAATCTGTGTTTGAACTGAATGGAAGTGCCAAAGAAGCTTCTATATAATATGTTTCTCTACAGGTAGGCCTTTTATTTTTTCTTTTCATAATGGTTAATAACCCGACTATGATTTTTAACTTACCAAGCATATGATATCATCAATTAGATTATTAGCATTACTGAGGTGCAAATGACTTTATAACTATTGTACCATTAAGAAGGGACACCAGGTATGCTGCAGTCCACGGGGTCATAAATAGTCGGACACAACCGACCAACTGAACAACCACACGGTTGAGACACCAAGTGAAGAAAGGCGAATGACATCAAGAAAACTCAGAACAAGGGTAAGGTGGTAGAATTCTCTAACTCCTAGTCTACCAAAAAAAAAAAAAAACAGATTGAATACTCCAAAGTGATTGAAAGATTATTTCATTGTGTCTGGTCAAAAATTAGGTACTCTACAGTACCATCTTCCAACAAAATTGAGATGGGCCACACCTGAATAACTGACTCCCTAAACCACACAACCTTAGTCCTTATGGGGCGGGGAGGTGGGGGGAACCTGTATCTCTAAGTGCCTATAAAAATGTCAGTGTCACTGTGCTCTCAGTACACATTTTTCATGAAAGACAGTGAGTGATTTCTGCTTTTGAGTCCTCTTTATTCCTCCTTTTCTGCTCGTGCTCCTTCTCCTCTTCCTTCCCTGTTCTCACACACGCACAAACCAATCAGAGTTTAACACCTTGTCCCTGGGACTTCCATTAAATATTAGTCTCTCCTATTGGTATGAAGAGCTTGTCTTCTGAAAACGCTCTGAAGTGCTTCGTAATGTCTGATACTACCCATCCCTTAGTGCTCATGCCAGGGATTTCTGAACTGCCTAGGATGGCTCCAACCATCACTAAAAGCCATGCCTAGTTCAGATGCTGCTATGAAAAGTCTTTATACATTTTCAAGGGATTAGGGTCCGGAAGAAATCATACCAGTAAAAGGGATAACAGTAAGATTCTTCTCCTCAAGCTAAAAGGACTTTAGCTGGGACCCAAGATGGGTGAAGTATTGTGTTACTTTGAAGAGAACAAATTAATCTTCCCTGACTGGTGGGAGGGATTCTGCCAAAGGCACAGCTAAAGGGAAAACCAGTCCCTACTCTGTGATGACACAGTAAATAACCAGGCAACATTACTACTGAAGTGCTGACCTAACTCATAAATTGTACCCAGCCTCTGGGGAGCAATTTCTGCTGATTCGCTGCTTGTGCATTTAAAATAAACAAACAAAAAGGAAAGAGGAGCGGACAGCATTGATACTGCTGGGGGTAAACACGCTGAGAGTAAAGCTGGTCCTTATCATCCAGACTTTCAAAAGACTTTGTAACAGTTAGTATCCAGACACAGGCTGGGCCTTGCCTGAGCAATTATTAATTTTACACCAGATCTGCTTCATACTATCATTTAGTTTCCAGAAGGGTTTTATTGCACCTGGGAATCAGCTGTACGGGGGATTAAAAAAAAAACAAAATCCTTCTTTGTAAGTTTGTCCCTAAAAAAAAAAAAATAAATAAGGATGTCTTGAGATGGCTGAAAGTCAGAATTTTGTTGTTCAATGGAATGTAGAAAGTTCTTTTTGCTATGTGTTCAGTAACAGGATCTAGTTGAATTTCAAATTCCTCAACTGTAATACACAATGAAGACTAACATTTCTTCTGTTTTGCCAAGAAAATTGATCTGGTTACTTCCAAGAAAGACTATAAAGATCCTATATCTAACTGGGGCGCACCTCTAGAGACACACGGAGCCGCAGAAAAGAGCTAAGAAAAGCCACTCACCCTCTGCATCTTCTGGCCGGGTAAGATCGATGACACCTGGGCCCAGCTTTCCATCTTCACTTGACTTTCCTGTTAACTGGGGCCCCAAATTCTCAAAGCGCGTTCTTTCCTAGAGGAAAGAATAACCAGAGACTTATTCTAGCTTCCAAAGCAGCCACTTTTTCCTTCCAATTTCTATCTTGCTTAATGGATGAAACTTGAATTTACAAACATCATTTCTGACCAACTGTAACTAAGAAAATCTTTCAGGAAGGTTCCACTGAAGCCTGTTTGTGGCACCAACACTGCTGACAACACCTAAACCATAGTAGCTCTAAGGAAAGGACATCTGTGGCAGGAAAACTGCCAGGGCTGTACTGCACATCTTCTCTCTGTTGGATTTGTTCCAGCAATCTAAAAGGAATGCAACTGAAAGGTGTGAGCCAAAAGCACAAAATCTGAAAGAGCCGTTTCCATTAGACTATACCGTTATTCAATGGGGAGGGGAATTTTCCCATTTAGAGATCATAGCTTGCATTGGTATTCCTGGAAAAATACAAATCAGAATTTTAGGCAAGAAGATTTCAAAAACAAATATTTCAGAGCAGGCAGACTAGATGACGGCACTGACACTATATTTTGTTTAGGAGTTTGAACTGTAACTTCCTGGTAAGTGAGAAGCAGGACATCACTCCCGGCCAGACCTTGAGTCAGGAAAGTTAAACACTTCTGCCATTATACTAGGAAAACCCAAAGGTGTTTTACTTGTTAACCTGTCCTCCTAGGAGCAGGAGTCTGAAGCATCACAATGAACTCTCCTTCTGCCGCTCTCTGGATCAGTAGCAGAGAGCTCATTGACCAGCCTTAACATGGTGTTGTTGTCTGCAGAAAAACAGCACGTGTCTCCTTCTCCCCTCCTTGTTTCTCTCCAGACTCCAACTTGGCTTTGTGTTGTGCTTATGAATGAATGAAACCTTGTTGTTCATTACTATGAAACAATATTAAATGTCATGTCAGCTTGAATTTACAGACATGAAATAGCAGCTTCCAGCTCCGGGAATGGTTTCTGCATGTTATACTTAATGCATTATGCAGCAGTAGAGTGCTGATTGCTGTTCAGTCTATTGTTCAATGACCTAGTTCTGTACTGAGCATGTTCGGCATTAGATGGAAACACTCTGAGTGTTCTCTTCTGTAAGATGTTTAGAAACTTGGAAATATTCTTAAAGAGCAAACATACAATTACTTGATAGAGGCTGTGCCTCATTTGTACAGCCTCACTACATTTGTGCTTTCTAATATGATTATTTTTGAATATCATTATATTTCTATAATTAATTCCCATCAGTCAAATTGTGCAGGAAGTCTTCCAGTTCCCCTTCATCATGTAATGTTGAAATCTGTGTTGGAAGAAAATACAGTATAAACCTTGCTTTAATCTAGCACCATTTCTATGAAAGATGGCAACAAAATTATAATCATGAATTTCCCCAACTGGGTAATACTAACTAGTTAACAAAAGCAGTATGTGGGGAAACCTCTGAAACATGACACTTATTTTTTAAAAAAAAGTGAAAATAAAAAGTAAATTAAGTATGGTTCCCCAATATCTTCTTATGTGACAACACTGCTGCACAAGAACAAATTATCCAGATGCAGGCCACAACAAAAAGCAACCACAAGCCATGCGGGAGTTGCATACATTGTTGCAGGGAGGACAGCTGCTTTCAATCAGCCAGTTTTGATTACTGAGTAGCACTTTTGGTTGTCATGATGTGAAGCAAAAGAAAGTGAAGATGAGGAGTACCAGGGACAGCAAAATATTCAACCTTTGTTTTATCACATTGTTTCGCATTTCAAATATTTGCATGTGAATGCTTTCCCTATGTTAAATGCAAAAGGAGTTTTGATGTGACACCTGCAATCTTCTTGGAAGAACAACCTTTAGCTGTATTTTCATGGGGGGAAAAGCAACTTTCTCTGAAAATCAACAGATCATGCTACCTATCAATATGCATATTTCAAGTATCTTTCTAGTCATTCATTCTCTTTGATTTTACCGGAAAATATTCTCAGTAAAAAAAATAAAATAATAAAGTTCCTGAAAGAATATCAATATTTTGACAAGGAAGGAGAAGAGGGAAAATTACATGCCATGGTTTGTAAAATCCTAAGACAACAAAGCTTACATGATGATAATATCTTTTCTTTTATAAAAAATGAAGTGCACTCACAATTCAGTAGTATCAGCTTGTTTTTAATCATAACAAAAAACATTCAGAACATTCAACAACACATTCTCAGTGTCTTTGAAGTCATACATTTTTCTGACTTCATTGAAAAAAAAATCTACAGCAGAGATAGTTTCCTTATAAAATATCAATATTTTGACAGAGTAGAAGTCAAGGAAGAATATCCCATGAAATGCTTGATAAATAGGCAGAAAATAAATCAATGATAAAAATTGTTTTGGGCAGTGGGCTGCATTTTATATTTGGTAATATTAAGCATTTGTGTTTGAGATTAAAGAAGGACCCTGCAAAGCCATGCCCTTTCATATAAATTTCTACCTAGTCTCCCAGAAGATTTCCTTCTTTTCTTCAAAGAATAGCTCAGAATATTTATTTGCCAGCCACATAACCATAAGATAAGAGGGTCTGATGTCTACAAGTTAGCTTAGGGCAGCTGAGCTAAGCAAAGATTTTACCAGTGAGGTTGAACATGAGCCTAGTAAATACAGGATGTGGACATGGGCACAGAGAGAAGTTTAAAGATTCTTTAGCTCCAACAGGCCCTCAACTTCTGGCCATTAAGAACCAATGGGTATGTCCCCATATGGAAATACAGACGAAGGGTGGCAAGCTCTTAACTCTAAGTTTTCCATGCACTTGAACTAGTTTCCATGAGGTATATAGTTCCCAAGTAGATATTCTGGAGATATAAACAAAACACCTCAATGCTAATTTTAATCTCAACCCCCCAGGCAGGAAAAATCCCCAGTCTTCATGATGACAGTGAAATGTGCATTTTACATGCAGCGATATGATCAGACACTTACTTATGCATTGTCAGTCACAAACATGCAGGCAACATAAAAGTTATTGAAAAAAATTAAAGTCAGCTCTGCTGTGTTGTAGGACTGTTGGCTCTCTAAGTGCTTTGAAATTATGATGTATGAGGTAGATGTTGCATATTAAATAAAGATATTTAAATGATAAAGCCCCCTTTAGTGAGAGCTGATGAATGTTAAATGTTACAAGCCACAAGACGGTAACATCCATCATCTTCACATATTATCAGAGTCAATGACGGGGCAGCCTCACTGATGACAGATAGACTACTGCATTATTATCCCTTATTTCTAGAGTCACTGAACAAACCATTCAACTCCTCAGGCATTATTTTTAACTTTGCATTAAATTAGCAACTTTTCCCTTCCTACCATAGCAAGATTGATCAATTCTGTCTTTGCATCGGTGGAGAGAGAGAATGAATTTGGGGTAGCTAAAAAATAAGAGGTTTGTTTTCATCTAGGGGAAAAAAAAATCAACTTCCTCTTACTGGCAACAAATGTAAAATTGTGATATGGGGAAAGAACAGCAATGAAACAGTAAGCACACAATAATGGCTTTTCTTTGCACTTAGATAAAAGCTGAATTTTTGATGTGCACAGTATATTTTAATAAAATTTTATATACTATGTTTTATACACTTATTGGCTATTCCATAATAATGTGTGTGCTAACAGTAAAATTGCTCTTAAATTTATGTGTGTTATTTATACGTTCCCACGTAACAATGCTTTTTGTTGTAAAAAATATTCTGTTTATTAATGTAACTTTACAACCACTGCATCCAAGATCCGTGGTAAATTAATGACATTTTTATTATTTTATAGTGTCATTAAATTTTTACTGATCACTCCATCAAACAGAGGCAGTAAAGGCCATAATGTAAACTGGGACACTTAGATCAGGCAGCAGGAAGACATTCCATATAGTCTGAAGAAAACTGCTAGCAATAAATGATATTTATGCCATCTTTAAGCATGTGAGAATACTTGGATAAGTTTGGCAAAACTGTTTCAGTAGTAGAGTGGATTGTATACTTAAATAACAGTTTGCTTGCCAGCGAGACAAGCCTTTTTCAAACCATATGCAAGATGACTGATTTCAGCCATCTCCTGAAAAACAACACGTGAAAGGTAACAGTGTACTGGGCACCCTCCCACTGGATTTCTGAGACTGACCACCCTGTACCACACCTCAAATGATTTCAACACGGTCCTCCTTTCCACAAACTGAAGTGTAAAAACTGCACATGCTGAGAGAGGCTTTTTGTTTGTTGCCTTACAAATAATATTTCATTTGACAGGCAGACATGGCTGGACAATGATGTGATGCATTTTATTCCAATGGTTGAAATGAGAGGCACTTTACCAAGCTGTATTCAAAGCTCTTTTACAAAGAATATCTGAATACGAGCTCATCTGTAACAGGCACAGAACACGCACCTAAGAGGCCATTACTTAACACTGCAGATAAAATGGGTAAAAAATAATATCATGTTACTTTCACATGTAAGTTACATTATAATTAGTATACTTTACACTAGCCCTCAGATGCTCTGTTCATAGAATATTTGTATATATATATTTTATACAAATATTTTATAATAATACATGCACATTATATATATTATACTTCTGTATTTAGAAGACAGCAAACAGAAAATTCTATGCTCATGTACTCACAAATTTAGAACCAATGTCTTACATAGGGATTTTGGTATGAATACTTTTTAATAAAAATTTTGCTGACATATCTTAAAATAAATATTTAAATGCTAAAGAATCTTTAAAACCATTCAAATTTGTGATAAGAAGGACTTTTGCAGAGAAAATTAATACTACAGTGTTACTAGCCATCTTTCTGTGTACTCCTGAAGCCGTTTTCTAAGAGAAATAACAAATACATGCATTATAAATAGAAATTCTCTAAGGCCTGATGCTGTGAAAGCACACTTAATATGCCAGTAAATTTGGAAAACTCAGCAGTGACCACTGTTTTCATTCCAATCCCAAAGAAAGGCAATGCCAAAGAATGTTCAAACTACTGAACAATTGCATTC